CACAACCTCTACGAGGCAGGCACTACTGATACTACACGAATTCATCAGTAAAACTGAAGCTCAGAAACACTAAGTAACTTTCACTCAACTAATAGTCAATGAAGCTGGAGTTTGACCTCAGGTGGTACAGTTCTATCTAGATTCTGCACCCTCAGCCTCAAAGTTGAACAGAGCTGCTAAGTGAAAGTGAACTGCCTCAGGGAGGCTGGGTAGGGAAAAAAGAGAGAAATATGTTTGCTTAATCAATTGCTGCTGGCCAAGGGCAAGGCCATTGCACCTGACATCACAGCTGATTGAGGTTGCAAAATCCCCAGTAATTCAGAGTCCAGGGTTCCTGCTGGATGAGACAGACTGGGAAGAGGAAGTCACCATCCCATACGTCACAGGCCTTTGTCAGGAGGAAGGAAGACCCTCACTGCTATCATACCCCTTAATCCTGAGGTTAGGGAGCCAAGGTCCTGTGGGTTTCTGAGAATATTCATCCCAATCATATCTTTCCACCCCTCTCTGGGAAACACCTGCAGTGTTCTATTGGGCTTAAAGTTTTATTGGCCTCAGGGGCAATGCCTGAGCTCCCTGCTTCACATGGCCTCTGGTGAACACCAGCTCACTGATGGACCAGCTGGTGCTGGGAGCAGTGCCTGCTCTGACACCCAATAATCCCTGAAAGCTTGGGTACTTCCTCTTCACCTGGGTGCAGTCTCCTGGTCAGAGGCTCCAGGCCCTACCGGGAATCCTACTTCCCCTCAGTATTTCCCAGCCTTCTTTCACAGGGGCTCTGGGTTGATAACTAAGTTTAGAAATTATGGCCAGGCACAGTGGCTCACGCCTTTAATCCTAGCACTTCGGGATGCTGAGGCGAGAGGATCACTTGAACCCAGAGTTCAACCACCAACTTAGGTTAACAGAAATTAGCCAGGCATCGTGGCACACGCCTGTAGTCCCAGATGCTCGGGAGGCTGAGACAAAAGGATCACCTGAGCCTAGGAATTGGAGGCTGTGGTGAGCCACGATGGTGTCACCACACTCCAGCCTGGGAGACAAAGTGAGACCTCAACGGAAAAAGTCATTCGAGGGGCTGAGGTTCCAGAATAATGGCTTCCAGTGGTAGCAGAGGCCTTTCCAGGGAACATTTCAAAACGACTGGAGACACTTATGGCTATCAGAGCCAGGAGCAGGGAGAGGGATTCTGCTAGCATCTGGTGGGTGGCTGGTAAGGGGTGCTGCTAAACGTCCTACAATGCACAGGACAGTGCCCTTTCCCGTCCCTGCAAAAAAAAATCCAAATAATGATCTAGCTCAAACTGTTAATAATGTCCAGACTGGGAAATCCTGTCTTGGAGGGCCTCAGTTAGCACCAGAACTCTTGGAAGCTGTTTTGTTTTGTTTTGAATCGGAGTCTCACTCCGTCACCCGGGCTGGAGTGTAGTGGCATGCTCATGCCTTCTGCAGCCTCAATCTCCTGGGCTCAGGCGATCCCTCTGCCCCAGCCTTCCAAGTGGCTGGAATTACAGGCATGAATCACCATGCCCAGCTAATTTTTAAAATTTATTGCAGAGACAAGGTCTTGCCAAGTAGCCCAGGCTGGTCTTGAACTCCTGGGTTCAGGCAGTCCTCTTGCCTCAGCCTCCTGAAGTGCTGGGATTATGGGCATGAGTCACCACATCTGGCTGGAAGCAAAGCCTAAAGTCCCATCTCTGAGATTCTAATCCAGTGGGGTGTGGCATGGGATACAGGAACCTGCATTCCCAAGTTATTCCTAGGTTATTCTGTTATAGGTGGGCCGTATTCCACACTGAGAAATAGCACTGCAGATTGAGCCTGAAGCATGATTCCAAAACTCTGGTCCCTAGACCTGTGTGGGCCTGCCTGGGTAAGAACCATCTAGAAAGCTTGCCAAAAGCCCAGGTCTTGCTCCATCCTGGAAATTCTATTGGAATAGATTTGGCTTCCATCCCAGTATTCTATGGATTGTTTTGTTTTGAGTGATTATTTTTTTCTTTAATTATTATTTTAAAATTGACAAAATTGTATGTATTTAGGTTTACAACATGCCCGGAAATATACAATGTGGAATGGCTAAACTGGCTAATAATGTGCATTACCTCACAAACTTTTAATTTTTTTCTGGTGAGAACACTTAAAATGTACTCTCACTAATTTTCAAGTAAATACTACATTGCTATTAATTATAATCACCATGTATTGCACACATATCTCGTGAACTTACTCCTTTTGCCTAACTGAAATTTTGTATCTTCAACCAACATCTCCCCTGAGAGATTCTTCCTTAGATCTGTTAACGTGGAGTGTGGTCTGAATTTGCACAGGACTCTGGTCACCTGCCCTCCCTTTCCCCATGTTCCAAGTCAAGCAAAGCTCAGGCTGCCAGCTGATTTCATTCCTGAAAGCCCCAAGGTTTATCAACAGAAGGCCACTTCCAGTACACAGATAAGGAGACAACCCACATTTCCAGAGTTATCAACAATCCTATTTCTGTTCAAATCAACCCAAATTAACCAAGGGCTGTACTCTGGGGGCTTCTGCAGGGGAGGAACTCTAAGGCCAGCAGGAGCAGTACCTCTCCCCACACCCCCAGCTGAGAATCTGGGCTGCCAGGGATCCCTGGTATAGATTAGAATGTACCAGGTATTTCAGGGATGCTGAGGTTGGAAGAAATCGCTGACGACTATTTGGGAAGCTTGGGATCAGAGCAGTGCAAAGTTGGCAGTTACCTCCCCACTCTGTTCTTAGGCAGGGCCTGGCATCTAACTGCTCAATAAATGCTAGCCATTGTCACTATTAAATGCCTTGAAGGATGTTTCATCCTGGCCATGGTATTGTCTGGAATATCATCGCTGCTCCCTGCTCAAAGTCATCACTCTAAGGTCACCACCTCTAAAAAAGAGCACCATACACCCCAGGGGCGTTGCATGCATTGTACACGAGGCTCCTCAGGAGGCTTCATCCTGCGTGCAGCACTGCCCTCTGCTGGTCACACTCGTGGGCGGTTTCACTTTCCTTGGTACCTTTCCTTTTCTCAATAGGCTTTCTCCTCTGTCCCCGGGTGGTCTCCAAAGCTGCTTCCTGCTTTCTCACTTGGTAAGGGATACCCTGCTCTTGGCCACTGCCTATTTTTAGAGATCTTTTGCTTCATGAGCACCTTCTTCAGAGACTGAAAGGCACTGACATGCCTCCCGCATTGGGGCAGAGAGGAGTCTGGATTGAAATTGAGAACTGTAAGTTTTGGTACATGACGGCATCCAAACCCCACACCAAGAGACTGGACTAAGCCTAGCATGATTTCTGGCAGCCAAAAGTTGCATCCTTGGGACCACCCAGCTTACCCTTTGAGTTCCTGTCTGAAAAAGCTCAAGGCTGTCAAAAGAATGGACTGTTGGCTGGGCTTGGTGGCTCAGCCTGCAATCCCTGCACTTTGGGAGGCCGAGGCAAGTGGATTGCCTGAGCCCATGGGTTCGAGACCAGCCCGGACAACTTGGTGAGACCGCGTCTCTACAATAAGTAAAAAATTATCCAGGTGTGGTAGTGCACACCTGTAGTTTCAGCTACTAGGAAGGCTGAGGCGGAAGGATCACCAGTGCCCAGCAGGTCAATGCTGGTGTGGCCATGAATGTGCCACTGCACTCCAGCCTGGACGACAGTGAGACGACTCCAACTCAATAAAAGAGAGAGAGAGAGAGAGAGAGAGAGAGAGAGAGAGAGAGAATGATGAACAGTTCTGGTCAATACCTGACAATAAGCCCCTGACCACCCTCCACTTATTTAAAAAAACCTTACTACTGTAATTCCTTCCTTTGTCCCTTTGAGATATAAATGCCTCTCCTGCAATCCACGAGTCTTTCTCAAGGACCTGAAAGCCATTCCTTCGAAATATCATCAGGAAGGGTAAGGCCTCAGTCTCCAGTTTCTGATAGGATCCTAACTTCCACCAACACAGCTGGCCTGGTCACATTAACGCTGACCAGCCCTTAGTCAGTAGTTAACCAAAAAAATGTCTTCATAGCTTTAACTAACGTCCAGCTTTGTTTATCTTTGACAAAACCTGTTCGCCATGCAGGTTCTCACCTTGGGTGTGGAGGGAAAGTCTGATAGGAACAGTTCTCACCATGGCGATGGAAGATGGATCCGCTGAGAGAGTGGGCTGGACCTGAGCTCTTGGCCCCCTCTCCTTTTTCCAAATGACTGCATGGAAAGGACGGGACAGGTGGGAAGGGCCACCCTGCTTGGGTAGGAGCTGCCAGCCCAGAGCAGCCTAGAGGGCAGAAAGCAGCTCTCCGGATTCTGCCTCCCAGGCACAGAGCCTGCTGCCCAGGAGGCGCAGTGACCATCCAGTCACAGACACACACACACACACTGTATTGTCTGAAGACACCAACAATCAACACTGTGGAATCCCAGGACCCGGGGAGCAGAGACCAAGGGGGGAGCAACCAATTGTGACACGTCTTCCCTCCAAACCAATGGGGATCTTCAGCTTCCCAGACCCAAGGCCATTAGGGTGGGCATAACCAGGCTGGGGCTGGCTTCAGAGTTGCAGCCACAGCGGCTGGAGAAGTCCCCTGGCCCAGGTTGATCCACAGGGAGCTGGGTAAACGGATCCAGAGGGTTCCTCCTTTAGTCCCCTCTCATCTCTCTAGGCCTAGCTTCAGAGGGTCCTCGTCACCTCCCACCTGCCCACTCAAGTCTGACTTCATTGTCCACCAAAGCCACCAGCTGGCCTTGACTTCTTGGGGTGGAGGTGATGGGGGTCTGTGATACCTGGACCAATCCCTCCTCCTGAACCACACTCATCCTCCAGAATTATATTCCCCTGGCTTTCCTCCTGCCTCCTGACACCTCCCAGCATCCTCAACAGGCTTGTCTTCATGTGCTCCCTACAGAAACTCTGGTACAGCTTTGGGTTCTACTCTGGAATTTTCTCACTCTGAACCCTGTGAGCAACCCACATCTCCCAGAGGCCAGGGTTTGCCACCAAACAGTAACCTTTTTATCACCATTATTTATTAGACATGAACTGAGTTTTTCGTACAAGTCACACATGACACCCTCACTCCACAGGAAGGACTGCAAAGGTTAGGAGAGGGAATCTGGGGGAAGTGTTTGTCAGTAGGAGGTCCCAAGCACCTGACCAGCAAAGAACTGAGCCCTCTGGGTGAGACACATCACATTCTCTTGCCGTTCCCAAAGCAATGCCTTCTAACTGGGAAGAAGGTCAAATAAATAGTCAATAAATAAAAGAGGCTGGCTATTCTTCCCCAGGCAATGAAGGGCCTCAGCTGGGAGCCAGACACGGCGGGTGAGCTCTGACCTGACTACCCCAGCAACTCTGTCTTGATGTCTCTCTCACTGTCCTCTAGGAGGGAGGGCAAGGTTGGAGAGTCCCCAGGGCCCCCCTGAATGCCATGTTCTGCCTTTCTTAGCCTTGCTAGGCTGGCGCTTCTCCACAACTCGCTGTCCGCAGCATGGAGGAGCCCAGTGCACTGGAGACAGGGCCTGGTGCTGGCTCAGGGGCCAGGGCGGCCAGTGCCCACAGTGCCCCTCAGACTGTGCCTTCCTCCCTCTCCCATCCCAACTCCGGTCACTCAGATGCTGCTGTGAGATGCTCTGAAATCTGTTCCCATCACAGCCTAGTGAGGCAGAGCCAGGACTCCTGGGGGTGGCCACTGTGCACAGACAGACAGGCTGGTGATGGGGTGGTGAGCTGCCTACAGAGTGGAGCGCCCAGGCAGGGGAAGAGGTGGAACTGGATATTCTGAGGAGACACAACTTTTTGAGCAAGCCAATCTAAGTAACTATAACTACAAACAATGCTCAACATCTAGGCTGGGTCAATTTTGATCCAGTGACTATGCTGCTTTTTACATGTGAACGTTTCTCTATTACTTCAACATTTTTAGAAATTTTCATATCTAGAGGCCAGAGCCAGAAAAAGCCTTGGGCATATCACATGGAGCCCTTCCATTTCATAGTAGGGTGGCGGCACCCGACTCCCCACCCTGGGTTCGGAGCACCCAGGGCTGGGCTGAAGCCTGGCTTCTGCCCCATGTGTAAGATCCTACCCATATCAGCTCGTCAGCCAGGATCTCCTTGGGAGGGAGAGAAAGCTCAGAGCAGTGGGTGTCTACGAGCAGGATGTCCCCTGCTGCAGCTTGACTGCTTCAGGGGTCTCCTTGAGGGTCAGCTAGGAAGACAGCATCTCCTAGAGCCAGGAAGACTCTGCAGGTGCGGGTCCCAGGGTGCCAGCAGGAGGGAGCTTGGAAGGACCAAGACACAGCTGTGGAGGGAGGGTGGGACTGAAATGCCATCAGGAACTGGCGAGCCAGGGTCATCCAGAGAGCTGGCACACCTGAAAAGCACATCACATCGAAGGGTCACTGCCTCGCTGTGGAGCCTCGGCTCCGACCACCCCCTCCCTGGGGAGCCTCCTTGTTCCAGCCTGGTCATAGCTTACCCTGTTCCTCCCTCTGTCCCTGTGTCCATGGCTCCTGCACCCCAGCTTCTCCTCACTCAGAACAGAGTCCACATCACCTGCTCTGTGGCCACGCCTGGACATGCTTTGGGAGGAAGCACTATGAGGACAGGGGTTCTGGGACCGTGGTTCCCATCTTATCCCTGGCAGCCAGCAGTGCTAGGCAGAAAGACAATGGGAGCTGAATCCCCACTATTTTCTTTTTCTAAATAAATGGATGCCTGTGTCCAATGAGAACTCTAACCATGGCCCTGCCTTTCCCTCCCTTCCCACCCACGGAGGTCCAGGCACCCACACCTGCTGCCCGCTCAGTACCTGGGCATGGAAGCAGCAGCTGGTCATTCCCACAGGAAGCGCACGTACCAGATGGTCTCGTTCTTCAGCTGGGGCCCAAACAGGGGGTTCAGCTGAGCCAGGATGGCAATGAGCCAGCTGCCAGGGACAGCAAAGTGCACGTGAGCCTGGCACAGAAGGCACCCCGCTCATGCCCACGGAAGGCCTTGGCCACACTTTCTGCTCTCCCAGGCAGTATGCAACCGACCTAGCAAGTGGCAGGCCCTGTGCTCCCAGGAGTGAAGAAGGGTCTGGGGAACCATCCACACTCCAACAGGCATGGGGGAGAGTCTGGTGTTTGTGGGTTTGGGTTTGATTTGATTTTCAGAAGATCTGTAAGATGCCTGAGTTAGGGCCAGACGTGGGCTCAGGGAAAAAGTGAAGCAGATTCCTGGAGAGCTTTGGGAGCGACTCCCAGCTGTGCCCACACACATTGCTCTCCGGGCTCACCAGGCTCCATGCACCAAGGAGCAGGACAGGGCACACCTGGTGAAAGGCATGTGAGAATCACCTTCTTTTAGAAAATGCAGAAACTGGGCCGGGCACGGTGGCTCAGGCTGTAATCCCACTTTGTGAGGCCAAGGTGAGAGGACTGCCTGAGCCCAGACGTTCAAGACCAACCTGGGTAACTTGGTGAGACCTCGTCTCAACAATAAATCACAAAAATTAGCTGGGCCTGGTGGCGTGCATCTGTAGTTCCAGCTACTTGGAAGGCGGAAGGATCACCTGAGCCCAGCAGGTTGAGGCTGCAGTGGCCATGAGCGTCCCACTGCACTCCAGCCTGGGCGACAAGAGTGAGACTCCAACTCAAAAAAAAAAAAGATGTAGGAACTATCCCAAGACGTGAGAAGCTGGCAATCGGGGGTGGGAGAGGGATGGGAACTCCTGCCCAGGCTGCTGCTGAGGCACCTCTGTTCTTCAGGCCCAGGATCTCTCGGGGGCCTGACCCACCAGCTGCTGGACAAGTAGATGGCTGCCCCCATCATTTGTGACAACCTTCTAACTTCATTTGCCATAGGAGTAGACCCCTGAAAACTTGGAATGCCTCCCATGATCACTGCAATGCAGCTTTGTCTGTTTTTGCAGGAAGGATGGATCTTTTTCATCTCTGAATTCCCCACAGCAGCTAGGAGCGCCTAATGCTCAGGAAGCTATCAGAAATCATTACCTGCTTTATGCCTACATTATGTCTGAGATTATGTTTTGTAAATATAATTTCTAGGCATGATTTTTCTTTAAATGGCTCCATCTTTCTGACTGTGTGCATCTAATTTGTAGCCTGTTTTCCCATATGTTGATTTGGTATTTGTAATTATTTCGCATTCTGTGTATATCCCATCACCCCCACACTCCCAGCCACCATCCTGTAAGTCCTGGTCTCTAAGCCATCAAATCTGAGCCCCTCTGAGGCCCTTCTCAGGGCAGATGAGGACATTTTGCCAAGCCCTGAAGGACTGAAAAACAGCATTAAAGTAAGGGCCTCAGAGATGCTCTGTCCAAGGAGAATTTTGGAAAAAACAACAACAACAAAACCAAACCATGAGTCTTCGTGAGTCAAGGTTTTATCCTGTCATCCAGGCTGAGTGCAGTGGCACAATCATGGCTCACCACAGCCTCCATCTGCTGGGCTCAGGAGATCCTTCCACCTCAGCCTCCTGAGTAGCTGGGACTACAGAAACACACCACCACCTCCAGCTATTTTTTTTTTTTTTTTTTAAATAGAGATGAGGTTTTTCTATACTGCCTAGGGTGGTCTCAAACTCCTGAGTTCAAGCAATCCTCCCACCTTGGCCTCCCAAAGTATGGGATTACTGGCATGAGCCAATGTGCCTGGCCAATTTTTAACAAGTTTTATTTTTTGTTAGTAGGAGGTGAGAAATATTAAACATTATATAAAGTAAATAAGAGAAAACTGACTAACAGGGATATATAGTTCATGACCTAATCAGATAAAACAGGTTTTATCTTTAATAACAGTCACCAAACCTGAAATGAATCAAATACATTTCTAAAAAGTGAATTTTGTCCTTTATATTTTGAAAAATTTGGCAATTGTGGGAAATAGACCCGTTGCTTTTAAAAGAATCTGCTCCTTTGTTTTTCTTTTTTTCTAAGAGACAGGGTCTAGTTATGTTGCCCAGGCTAGATTTCTTTTTTTTTTTCTGACTTGGAGTCTCACTCTGTTGCCCAGACTGGAGTGCAGTGGCCACTCCCGGCCACTGCAGCCTTGACCTGCTGGGCTCTGGTGATCCTTCCGCCTCAGCCTTCCAAGTAGCTGGAACTACAGGCTCATGCTACCACGCCTGGCTGATTTTTGATTTATTGTAGAGATGAGGTCTTGCCAAGTTGCCCAGGCGGGTCTCGAACCCGCGGGCTTAGGCAATGCACTCACCTCAGCCTCCCAAAGCATGGGATTACAGGCTGAGACACCGAGCCCGGCTTAATTTCAACTCCTGGGCGCAAGTGATCCTTCCACATAGCTGGGACTACAGGCATGAGCCGCCATGTCTGGTAGAATTTGTTATTTTTTAAGGAATCTGCATCTCATCACTCTACCTGTCCTGACTGTTCTGAACTAAGAACACCCAATTATGCCAAGCTTGACTCATGAAAATAATATATAAGACATAGGAAGACGGGGCTGAATACGGTAACTCACTCCTGTAATCCTAGCACTTTGGGAGGTCAAGGCAGGAGTATCACCTGAGCCCAGGAGATCAAGGCTGTAGTGAGCCATGACTGTGCCAATGCATTCCAGTCAAAGTGACAGAGGAAGACTCTTAAAAAAAAAAAAAAAGACATAGGAAGATGGGCTTAAAGGTGCTTGGTTAATCATGAAAGAGTCATCCCCAAAGTAGCCCAAACTAGAACCTGAACTTATCCCTTAGTTAGCAGACAGGAGGATTTAAACATGGAGCAATGTAACAGCAGGACTGGGATGGATGAAGGTAGGGAAAGGGTTGGGGGGCATCTTTTTTGTGTGAAGAGGGAATAGCTATTGTGAATGGCAGTTTTAGAAAGAGAACATATGAACAACGAGGACCTGGAAATTGATTTTCTCACACTGTCCAGGTACTGAGTCCCTTGGAATGTTTTTGTATACCTCCAGGCACACTCCCAAGTTTGAAGACTGTTGTTCTCACCTTAGTGGTTCTAAGCTGGCTGCACTTCAGTCACCTGGAAGCACTCATGAAAAAACAGGAATTCCTAAATGCAGGCCTTGAGAGCTATGATTTACCGAGTCTAGAGCGCATCCCAAAAGCTGAGTGAATAACTGCTCCAGGTGATTCTGAAGCCCAGTCAAGTATAGACAGCACTGAGCTGGCCCAACTTATTCCTCGCACAGGTGACAAAACTGAAGCTCATGGATGTTACACAGACAATGTGTACACACTGGTGGCAGAGCCATACCCAGAGCCTGGAAGTCATGACTTCTGGCCTACTATTCTCTTTACCTTTCTATACTGACTCTACTCCAGTGTTTAACAGATTCAGCCTTTCAAGAGGTGTTCAGTACCTGGACAAGGAGACTGAGATGGGAGGATAACCGAACTGGCTGATTTTGAACCGGGGAAAGTTGTACTCACAAGAGATAACAGCAGACAGCGGTGGCTACCAGCATGGTGATAATCACTCTGCAACAGAAGAGGACACGGGTCAGGGTGGGTGGAACAGCAGCCTCAGAAGGCCTGGCCAGTGCCAGCGAAAGGGCTTGTGGTGTCAGCTCTTTTCCCATTGGTCTTCCTGATGCCAACTAGACACAGGAGGCTAAGGTCTACTCAGGTAAGAATAGCCCGATAGAAAATAAAAACAAAGTGTCCCCTTATAGAGAGGCCAACCTTGATCACATCCAAGTTATGTTATGAATCCCTCCCTTCAACCACTTTGTCACCCAGTATTCCTCCATCTTAATGCAGACATGTAGGGGACTAGCACTGCACAGAGCTGCATTTGCAGCAACCACTGAGGAGTGGTCTGTGGAATTCCAAATTCATCAGACAAGGGGAAGGAAAACAAATAGACCGGAAGCCAGGGCAAGAAGCAGGGAGACTGTGAGCCATTTCTAAGGCTGAGTGAGTTACTATAAAGAGAACAGGGACTAGTTGCTTTGTGTCCATTCTAGACTAGAGACAGAAGCTTAAAGTGCAGGAGAGACTTCAGTTAGACTGAAGAAAGAATCCCCAGGATTAGTAGGAGAGGTGAGATGCTAAAATGGTTTACAAAGTGAAGCTGCGGGATCCCAAGTCCTGTATATCTTTAACTACAAAGGCAATACCCACATGTCCAAGCAGCCCCCAGGAAAGGCTCAACCTAATCCAAACTAGGGACTGTGACCGCTGATCTAAAGCACTTCAGGTAGATGCTAGAGAAAGAAGCATTTGATCTGTCTTTCAACATTACTAAGCAGCTTGAGCCAGGCCTGGTTGGGAATTGAGCAGAATGGTGAAGAAGAGAAACCCTGACCTCTGGGAACTTACAGACAAGGAGAGAGAGCACTTTATAAATGAAGATAATATTAAGTAGAAACTAGTGAGTGGTGCAAAAATGAGTTAGGGGCCCTTCAAAAAATGCTAGCTAAAATTATCTAATACCTACAAAGTGCCCCACACTGATGTTTTAAATGCATTATTGCGGTAATCCTCACAGCAGCCTCTAAGGCAGGGGTCGTCACCATCCCCATTTTACCTGTGAAGAAATGAGGCTTGACATTTGCTGCTAATCACACAGCTACCAAGTAGTGGAGAAACCGCACCGGTGCCCATCCCTGCCCTTTACCGATCGCAGGAGGAGGTGACACAATCGTTTCCCAGTGTCAGTCTCCTCTTCACCTTCTTTATCTGCCCTCTCGCCCCGACCTCAGCCTTTTCCCCCGGCGGAACGCAGCCCAGGTGCAGAGACCTCGGAGGAGGCGTCGGGGCGCCTCGCGTCCCTCGTGCGGGCGCTCGCTGCGGGGCAAAGTCGCCGCCCCGGGGACCGGAGAGGGCGCTGCAGGGCCTGTGCTCCTTCCTTACCCGCGGTTGGGTCCCTTCGGCACGAACCAGGGCCCAGCGATGCCGATGAGGCCCCAGAACGTGGTGAAAATGATGACTGGGAGGGCGAAGGAGTGCGCCGTCATGGCCGGACGCGGGCAGCCCAGGCGGGGATGCACGGCCCAGCAGCAGAGGATGCAGACGCGCGGGTACCAGGCCAGGTCGTGGGCGCCGAGCCTGCGCAACAAGACACGAGCGGCTCCGCCCGACCGATCCGCGCACGCGCGTCTCCTGACTCGGCCCGTCTCACCGTCACTCAGAAGGAGCGGGGCGGGTCTTCTTAGGAGCACACTCCCTGATTGGCTGAACAGGACGTCGGCCCGAGATAGAAGCTCGGGTTGAGAGTCCGGCTCGGTCCCCTTTCCTGTGATGCCGCCGTCGCGCTCGTTGCTTATTCCCAGACTCCGGGAGCTTGGGGTCCTCTGCCCGTCACGCGCTGCACCTGCTCGGCCCCAGAGCACCCAAGGGAACGCCGATCCTGGGCCGCCCCGAACCTGACGGCCCCGCGGGGAAGGGGGGCGTTGGGCACGGGAGGAATGTCCCTCCGCCCCTCGAATACGCAGCGGGAAGTCTCCCCCCACCCCTACTCCGGGACGGGTGCGGCGGCGGGGCCCAGGATGGTTGGAGACACCGCGGAAAAGACGCAAGCGCCCTCGGTCCACGAAGGCCGCGGGCAGGAGCTGAGGACACTCGGGGAAAGGCAGGGGTTTTCACGCCGACTTGAGGATCGGCGGCGGGAAAGAAAATGGGGTTAAGGCCAGATAGGTCGGCGTTCAGGGCTCCGACGCGAGGCGGGCGGCTGACGAGGATCAGGCCCAGGCTCCGCGGATGACGGCACCCTCCCCAGCATCAATCCAGCAAATCCAGCAGGGCCTTTGCGATGAGATTCCCGACTCCTTGCGTAAATAGCTAGTCTAATTAAATATAAAATGGGGGTGGCAATTCTTACAAGGTTGCTGGAGGATTAAATGAAATAAGCATTATATTCTAGAATAAGGCTCCATATATGGTTTCTTCCATCGGGGCTGGAAGGAGCCTCAGTCTGTTTTCCTTTTGGGGCTTTTAAAAAATCTCATATATCCCTTCTGTGGAGATCAATAATCTCTAGCTTCTAGAGAGATTCCATTTAAAGGGATCCGTGGCTCCAGGAGACACCTCTAGCAGCAGGTGCTGTTCTAAGCAGCCTGCCATATATATTTTTTCCCTGGCTTCATGGTTACGTGATATGGGAGCCGGCACAATCCCTATGTGACGCAGAAGGGAAATGTGCCTGTCCTTGCACTGATCCCCTCCCAGCTATGTGTGTTGTAACTGTTGTGTACTTGTAGCTGTTTTCCCAAAGCAGGAACAGGTCACATCTGCCCTTCCTTGTTCTCTTGTTGAGATAACCTTATCCATACTTTCAACATTCATGTGAGGTGAGTGGTAACAGAGATTTTAGGCATAAAATACCATCCTAGCCTTCTAGGAATTTCTAAACTAGCTGAGGAGTGATATATTCTAGTAAAACCGTAATGCTGGCCAGACTGGGCTAAGAGCCTTGTGATCAGATTAGTCCATGTCCATTATGAGAATTCAGAGGATGGAGAAATCAAAGAAGACTCCCTAGAGGACATGAGATTTCAGCTGGATTGCAAAGAATGGTTAGGAGTCTTATCAAGAGTGTGCACTGTTGAGAACACTGGCCCACAATAAAGGTGCACTTGGCATCCATGGGATAGAGTAAAACAAGATGTTCCATACAGTCCTTCAAAAAATCATCACAAAAGTTCATCTGTAGCTCAAAAAAGATCGATTTCTCTGAATTCTGTTTGGGGAAAAAAAACAACCCCATAAAAAATGACAAGTGAGCCGGGCTTAGAGGCTCAGCCTGTAATCCTGCGCCTTTGGGAGGCTGAGGTGAGTAGATTGCCTGAGCCCACGGGTTCGAGACCCGCCTGGACAGCAAGACCTCATCTCTACAATAAATCAAAAAATCAGCCGGGTGTGGTAGCGCATGCCTGTAATTCCGGCTACTTGGAAGCGTGAGGCGGAAGGATCGCCGGAGCCCAGCAGGTCGAGGCTGCGGTGGCCGGGAGTGGTCACTGCACTTCCAGTCTGGGCGACAGAGTGAGACTCCACCTCAAAAAAAAAAAAAAAAAAAAAAAAGACAAGTGTGTAGTGAAAAGTATTTCCTTCTTTGTCTCAGCTTTGACTAGAATTGAAGGCAGTGCTCAGCTTAAATGACCAGCTCATTTTAGGTGCCTGCAGCTTCTACTCTTTTTCTTTAATGATCTTTGATGTTTCATTTCTGTGCTAATTTGCATTTGATTGTTAGAGTCATCTGTTTGGTAGAGTCTAAGGTCCATGAAGGGATCAAAGCCATAAACTGGCTTCGAAACCAACCACTGAAGCCTCACCTGGACCCACAAGCTCTGGCTGTTCCCGGGCCCATGATTTGACAATGTAGGCACTTTTGGGCTGATGCTTCATTTCCAGGGATAAATTGTTCGCCTGATTAAACATCTCCCCTGCAAATAGTTTCACAGTATTTCCACATAATTACTTTATAGAACCTTAGTTTTAGCCAAAAGGGATCTTAGAGGCTATCTATGGTAATCCACTCACTTTACAGGTAATGAAACTGATGCCCAGAGAACTGAAGCAACTTGCTTAGTTCACACAGTTTATCTGTAAAAGAACCAGAACCTATGGTGAAGCCTTTTCCTTCCTAATCTAGTGTCTTCTACATGCCCCAGCTCATCCCCAGGGCTTGTCCAGCAGCACTGACATGAGGCAGTGTTGTCAGACATGCACTACCTGCCCCAGGATCTTGATGTGTGGTTGTGCATTCTGTTGGCTTCGTGGTCCCCCTTTCCCCTGGTGACTTCTGATTTATATTGGCTCCAGTGACTGCACTGCCATGGCTCCCCAATGAGTGCTTTGGGGCATGATTCATAAGTTTCCAGGACATTGCCCAGGGAGTGGGGTCCCAGTGTTGGTTACATCTATATTCATCTTTTCATAGATTTGGGGACTGATGAATTCCTAGAGAGGACAGAAGCAGAAGGAGTCACTGAGAGAGGCTCTTTAAAAATGTCCCTGAATCTAGGGCCGGGCTCGGTGGCTCAGCCTGTAATCCCAGCACTTTGGGAGGCTGAGGTGAGTGGATTGCTTGAGACCGCGGGTTCGAGGCCCACCTGGGCAACTTGGCGAGACCTCATCTCTACAATAAATCAAAAATTAGCCAGGCATGATAGCGCACGCCTGTAGTTCCAGCTACTTGGAAGGCTGAGGCGGAAGGATCGCTGGAGCCCAGCAGGTCGAGGCTGCGGTGGCTGGGAGCGGCTACTGCACTCCAATCTGGGCGACAGAGTGAGACTCCAACTCAAAAAAACTTAATAAATAAAAAAAATTAAAATTAAAATAAATAAACATAAAAATGTCCCTGAATCTTCCCAGTGCGGATGAACTGAAGCCCTGGGACACTTGAAGCCTATGAGAAATCATACCTCAGAGACTCAGACATATCCTAATACTCTCTGCAGACCCAGGCACATATTGGGGGTGAGGACAACAGCTCCAGATGTCTGTCTTTGCAGGTAAGGCCTTGTGATATTTAAAGATGTGGCCACCTACTTCTCCCTACAAGAATGGGCAGACCTGGACAAGGAGCAGAAGGAATGTATTGGAATGTGATGAGAAGGAATTACAAGCTGGGACTTCCCTGGATGAGAATGTTGGCCCCTTGCTTTTTGGCCATTTAATAGGAACTCCCCCGGCCTGTGGGTTCAGGGAAAACTAGACTCCCAGTGTGGTCGTCTCTGTCATTAGTTGGGCCTGTTTTTCCCTCAAGCACTTCTGGAAGTGGGAAAACATGACAACTGCACTTTTTTTTTGAGTTGAAGTCTCACTCTGTTGCCCTGACTGGAGTGCAGTGGCACTCATGGCCACTGCAGCCTCGACCTGCTGGGCTCAAGCGATTCTTCCGCCTCAGCCTTCCAAGTAGCTGGAACTACAGGCATGCACCACCACGCCCGGCTAAATTTTTAATTAATTGAAGAGATGAAGTCTCATCAAGTTGCCCGGGCTGGTCTCGAACCCCTGGACTCAGGCAATCCTCTCACCTCGTCCTCCCAAAGTGCTGGGATTATAGGCATGAGCCACCGTGCCTGGCCTCAACTGCACTGTTTTATTCAGCCCCTGGCACTCCTAAAGTTTCCCTGAAATAAACATTCCTACTTGTTGCAAGGCCCTGCCTGTTTCTCGAGCCCTCTGAGATTTACTACCTACTTTCGCTGTCCTGATCAACGAGGTGAGCCCAGGGCATTAAACAGGTAGTGCAAATCAGCCTTCAGGACTGATGCAAGTCCCCTCAGTGTGGGCTTAAGGCAAGCTTGGCTTTCTGTCTCCCTGCAGTGTGTGCTGTAGAGACCATGTGGAGATTGGAAAGGGAACAAGAACTTTGGGTGAAGGATTCCCAGCCCCGAACAGTGGCCAAAAAGCCACAGCTCAGTCAGTTAAGACTTGATGCAACATCCCTTTAAAACTCCCATGCAAAGCTCGCCATTCAGCACCTGTAGCGGCCCATCAGGCTCTAATCAATCCACTAATCTGTGTCCCTCTGTATCTCTTCTGTGATTTGGATTCAGTTTCTGTACCTCTTTGATATTCCCCTTTGACAGGAGCCTGGGTCACCTGTGAGAAACAAGGCAGTGCTATAAACCTTTCCAGACAAGATACACTGAAAGGACACAATCAGGGTGGGGCAATAAGGTGTGGTTGTGTCATTCACCACTGCCCTGTAAGGAGAGTATGTCTAACAGCCACAAATCTTCACATCTGATGTACTCTGTCTCACAAGCCCTTTCTGGTTATCTACAGAAGAAGAAAAACAATGAATTTTGTGAGAAAGCCCAGCTTGGAGGGATACACAGAAGATCCCTCATGTAAATCTCCTGACAGGTAGGGGTAGGCAGACACTGAGTCTGGTTCACTGAAATGGGCAGTCAAGAGTGAAGGGTCAGGTATCTGTCTTCATAAGAATCAGTTTCTGATTTATCTGTTAGAAGGCTTCCCAAGCTTGTTGTCCAGCAGTGGCTCTGCAGGAAATTGTTAAAATGGCAGCAAGAACACCCCGACTCCCTGGGTCTTTGGAGGCCAAGGCCATCCCTGCACGTGTGCTGCAGTGGAAGCAGGAGGAGTGTGAGTA